CATCCTCCGCATTACATCTATAAGCCATAGACAAGACTGTCCTCTTTCATCATTTCTTTTCAAGTTGGTCATTGATACAACTATGGAAAACTCATTGCCAGCCTCTAATACCTGTGAAGTCGAAGTTCTACCGGGGCGTCCGTTTACAGATATCGAGTACGCAGACAACATAGCTCTTCTTGTGTCTGATACTGTGGTAGTGCAAACAATATTCTGTCTCACGGTTTGGCATGCGCTTCACACCTGCAAAGTGTAAAGTGCCGCTGCAAGAATGGATAGGCTCGAACCCCAGATTTATGCTTGCATATGAAACGACTGAGATAGTAGACAAGTTTGTCTACCTTGGAAGCTGTATCAGTCCCGGTGACTACGCACAAAATGATGTTCCCATCCGGATTGCGAAAGCCAGAGCAGCTTTTGTGAACCTGCGTCACCTGTGGCGTAGGCGTGATATCAGCTTCTCTGTCAAGGGTCGAGTTTAAAATTCTGCGGTGCGCTCCATATTACTATATGGATCAGAAACCTGGCCGCTGCGCGCTGAGGATGTCAGAAGACTTTCATTGTTTGACGACTGATGTCTTCGGAGCATTGTCCGAATCTGGTGGGAACACCATCTCAGCAATGCTGAAGTACGTCAAATGGTATCCGGAATAATTAACTTGCCTCCACACTGCACAGGTTGCGCTAGCTTGGCCACGTGCTGCGTATGCCAAAGGGTTCTTTAGGCCCAACTACGTGAAGGGTGGAGACGAGCCAGATGCGGTCAAACATGACTTTGCGGCGAAGTGTGAAAGTAATTATCAGCAAACTCATCTGCGTCGGTCACTGCCGATTTCCTGGATGGGGAGCCTGAGAAAAACCATGTCAATGGTTGGGGACGTTATCAGACATAGCCAAGTTGCGCCATCAATGACGCTCGTGCATTCATGCCACTGCCTTCAATGCGTAGCTTTCTTCCCAACCCTCCACTTAAAAGTCCACTGATGGTGCTATATTTCCGCACGAACTTAACAGCTCCCACCTCCAATACGTTACTACCTGGTCTACCTCCCCAAATCATTGATGGACGAAACTGTGGCAGCTACAACAGCGGATGATGATGATGACGATGATGATAAGCCATAGCGACAGCAGAATAGAAGTAAAATTGAATAAAACAAATAAAACAAATAAGACAAACAAACAAAAAATACTCCTCGTTTGTTTTCCTCTTTCTCCCTGCATCACAGTTGTCATCGTCACAATCTGTCCCCGTCATCCCTCTTTGAACAGTCCCTCTTCAATCCCGGTGTAACTTTTCTGGTGAGTCCAAACAAATGAAGGGAAGCACTGGACTCGGGCTTTGCTCTTAGTATACCTCAGCAACAGTGCATCTTCTTGGCTATTCGGGGACCGGAAACTCTAACTGGGAGGTCCTGTACCACACATCCAGAATAGTTACTTGATCGCGTTTGATGTATTCGGCAAACCAATCTCACTGTTCCTGTATGAGCACGTTCACCTATGCAGACTGCAACGAGCGTGCGCTAGTGAAGTACTGGTAACAAGCTCGCGTCGCGCTTCACATATCCGGATTTCAAATCGTGTAACGGTAAACGATGTGCAGTGCTGATGAGCTCTAAAGAAACCAACTCTCTAGTTCAGTGCTTCCTCTCATCGGTGTCGACTCATTAAGATAATTGTGTCAGGACAAGAGCAGGACTCTCAAGATGACCGCAAATTCTACAAATGACTAAACCACCCACAATTTGTCACCATCATCCTCCTCCCCACCGTCATCACCATCATCGGCAGCAGCAGCAGCATTTACGAACCATGTACATGCCACACAGGGGCCCAGTAATCCCGCATATGTTTTACGATAACTAATGGATTGAACCAGAGAACATGTGTGTTGCAGGCTACCGGCCAAAACATTATAGTTTACAGACGATTAGGAGGTAAAGGATGGTCGAGCAAAATGTTGAACTGTCTTGTAAACAGTTCGGATGCGGAAGCACCACTGAAACTACTGGTATAGTTCATTTTGGAATCTCCATCCACGCGGACGGCAGTTTCTGGAGGGACTGAGTGTATTCGTGATGACCTTCATAGTTCACTCTCAGATTATGAGCTCAAGCCAAATCTATTCCTACACTGCTTATGCCTATGCAAAACGTGATTTACTAGGCAGACCATCCTCTACCGTTAAACGTTTGAGACCAAGTCAGTGAAGTCTTGGTTTTTCTGCACAAACTGGCTTTGCTCGGACTAAAACCTCCTCACTACACACAGCCCATAAAGTGTCATCGGGCAAGTTGCTACTCTAGAGGGTTTCTCCTATATACCATCAGCACCGGTAAATCTGTGTTCCCACCAGACGCGAACAATGCGTCAGATGCATTGACAGTCAAAGGATGAAAGTTTTTTAGGTTTTTTACTCGCAGAGGTCAGGTTCCTGATTTCGAATCTGATCTACAGGACAACTTACACAACCTGTGGGAAACCAGCTTCCCTTAATACATCTGGACCGCAAGATCACGCCAAACAGCCCGACGGCATTGAACTACAAGCGACATTAGGCACTTACTAGTAAAACCTGAGATACATCTGTGTCTGCAGAGGGCAGCAAGCGTTGATAAAGAAATAAGCTTATTGCAATGTGACGTGCGGGTTTTCAAGGGATTTGTGAGGACAAACATACTCTGACTTAAAAGTTCTCACATTTTGGCGCCATTTATCTTCATTGATCAGCAAGTGTCAGACTCAAGTTTCGCCATGAAATAAAACTCATCAGATAACTATATTTTATTATGGGCCCATAAAGAACGTATGCGCTGGTCTTGAGCGTTATTGTGGACAAGAATTCAGTTATGATGTTTATAATGTATGCACCAACAGAGTTGCAGATCAGATTTATTTGCCGTTCCAGATAAGGTGTCGTAAACCATCTGGTGAAACAAACTTGGATGCCACCTGCTGTTGCTTTGTACTGTATGTTCGTACTAGGAAGACTTTCATACATCAGTACCCAGTAGTGGGCCTCACCTAATTTTCGTGGTCCTATGTCACCACCAGACAAAATGTTTGTCTCCATAAAAAACGGACCGTATATGAGGTTGTTTGACGGAATTTGAACTGAGAAGAGTATAATAGTTCTCCGTAGCAATCTAACCTTGGGCCATCTCAACAGCAACTTGTTGTGCTCATGCTGTTAATGCATTATGTAGAGTAAATTAAGAGCTAATTCACAGGTATCAAATAACCTGAAACGAACGAAAACAGAATACCACTGGTGAGTTGGGTTACCGGCTTGTGAGAACCACATAAATGGACACAGGAAATTTGTTTGCCCTGGAAAATATCAAGTTGGATATTGATTCGAGGATCACTTAAATTTGCTCGGTAGCCTAGACAAGAGTGTACTCTAAGCTCACCAAAATCGTTCTGATGGTTATTTGTCTCTGTTTCTCGGATGATTAACAAATATGCTTTTTTTGCATGACCACTCACTTGGCAACATGTCATCGTTCCACCCAAATAGTACGGAAATGTGACAAATACAAAAGTGCGGTTTAACGTTTCGAGGCAGGAGTGATTGACTTTTTTCGGTGTTTGAAGACTGTGTGACGTAAAGAATGCGGACTCCCAGTACCGCAGTGCTGCGGAGGAGGAGGTCAATTATTGTGCAAAGGTGAAATCAATCTTCCTTCGTACGGCGGTGTTTGATTGGTGGAAGTGCGTATTTTTGATCACTAAAAGCAGTCACATGTCAATGCTCGTGGGTGGAAATGTTAAGGAACCGTACTCCTTAATGGCCCAGTTAGAATCCTCTATAAACGTCTCCACACATTTTAGGTATCTCAATGGAGATTTTATTCTCTAAGTGAAGTCAGTCTATGCCTAAACGCCAGGGACGACTGCACCGCTGTTCCATTTTTATTTAGAGCCATCAGCACTCAAAGTATCACAAATTTATGGGTAGATCCGTACTTGCGACCTATCGACCAGTAGTTAGAGATTATACCGTTAAGTCACGAATGATTGATCATCAGCTGATCGCACTTATACAGAATATAGCACCACTCATCCTCCAATCATGCATTTAACATCACTTGGTCACATGTTGATGGATGGTTCAGACTTCGACTACAATCCACGAGGTCGTAAGTATGAAACTATGCCCAGGGGATTGGTGGGAGGCGATCCCAATGAGGACGAAACAAATGTTCAGGGCCTTTTGGCTTTTATGCACGAAAGCTCCAGTAAAGCTTCCAAACCCTACCTTACTATGAACTTTGAATAGTGCCTGACCAAGCTGAGAAACGTGCCCGTATTTCTTCCGGTGAGCGACCAACTCTTCGCAAACCAAGGTAATCGATTGAGCATAATTTGAAAATAATTATCACTGAAGCAGGTTACCTTTAACAGATTTGAAATGTCGCTATTCAAGCAGTTTTAGAGAACTTATCTGCGGAAAAGTGATAAAATATTGGTGTCAAAATGTTTGCTTTTAAAACCTCCTTTTCGTATGAACTCGTCTCGTACGGTCATGAGACACATTACTTTCCCAATGCAAGTCCCTTTTCTCCGGTGGTTTCACTGAAGAGAACATCAGGCGTGTGTTTGTTTTTGGGGCCCACAACATTACAAAACCCATACATACCCGAAGTGTATTTAGAACTTCTTTGCGAGTTTCGGTTAGTATTCACCAAGAATTTTTGAAAATCTGGTTAGTTTTAACAGAACTCAGAGAGTGCATTTTTTCACGTGCAATCGTCTACGATAAGGAGTAAGCAGCGTCAGACAATCTATTCCGAACGAAAGAACACGAATTGCGTTTCATATGCACAAGAATCCGAGATTGAAAGCGGCTTATTCGATGAAAGAGTTTTTTGCTGAAAAGAAGTTGCGTTTTTGTACTGGGCCGTAAATCACTCGCTAGTTGCTTCTGGTTGTTTTTTTTGCTGGTTGTATTGACCTAGAAATACGTGCCGTAACAATTCATTGTGGCCTTTCAGGATATCTATACTGATAAATTGGAACATGGAGATCGATCAAAGGCAATGAAACGCCTCAGAGTGCCGCCACTCTCAGAGCGTGTAAGTTGCGTACAACAGTTAGTTATTCGCATGCTACTGCCTTGTTTCACTTATTAGTTTCCGTGTTTTTAAGTCCCCCATGGCAAGTTTGAAATGATATATGGGCATAACAGAACCTAAGCAAGCTAAAAGATTGGCAACGTTTCCTGAAGTATGCCTGTATCGGTTATGGACGAGTTTTTTGAATATTTTCAAACTGTTTATTTACAGAAAATCGTTCGGCTTCAACACTTTTTCGGTGCATAGCTACCGCGCTACCCGAAGGAAGCACGAGAGCCTAGATATCGCTAAGTTGCCCAAGCCTGACGAGGAACGCTAACAAAGAACGTGGTATTTCTCGTCTGAACAATCCTCCTCATGGTTAGTTAAAACCAAACGGGGGGATTACTGGACTCTTTTTCTCGCAGCGCACATTCTGGGCCTTGTCTGTATTTGAAGGCGGCTGTCGGTTTGGTGCGGTCAAGCGGATTGCTTGGCCATGACCGGTGACTGTTCGAAAACGTTTTCCGAATCCACATGATTGTACGTCCAAAAGTGAAGCGATCCATCTTTGATGCCGATGTTTCTGGGTCACGCTACATGCGGTCACATCCAACCAATAGTAGTGGGTACTCCATTCTGATCCACCCGCCAAACAATGTAGATAGTTGATGGTCATAAGTAACAAAGCGATGGTTCGGTCATCCAAAACAAATCGGTTCGCTCGCACTGCTCCCGTCCCACTCCTGAATTGGTGCGGTCATCACGGTTGTGGCACCGTCCGCTCCGTTTAAAGGCTGTGCGGATGCTTCAGAGAAGTTCAAGGAACGTAGACTTGGGGGTCTATTTCAATACTACGGTTTTCGATGTTATTATGGCAGTCATCAAAGAAAGAAGAAAACGCTTTCAGCTGTAACACCCTTCCGGTGTCTGGCTGCCATGCCAACCGAAGGGAGCACGAGGGCTGGGATACTGCTAGACTGCCAAAGCCTAGACAGGGAAAGTCGAGAGCCAGAGATCGGGTTCGAACCACGAACTTTCCGGTCAATAAATTCGCGCTATAACCACTGAGCCATCTCGCCCCAATCATCAAAGCAACCTGAGGTTGAAATGTTTAATGGCAAAAAGAATAATCCAATACATTGAATATTGTTCAAAATGAAACACAAAGCAGCCTCTGTGTAGAATAGTTGGTCCGAGGATGTCATAAGGGGAGGATTCAGTTGAGTTATGCCACTAGTGCCACCATGAGTTGCAATTGTGCAACCTGGAGAATCCTTAGGCTGATTGTGTGCCTTATATTGGGCATTCTACTGCCTGACAGTTTCATCCTTCAGGACGATGCTAACGAATCAGTGGATATCATTTAAAATAATTTAAAAGCTCCAATTCTGGGAGTTCAAAGAAATGCACAACAAAAAGCTTCAGGAAAGAATCAACCTTTAGATCCATTCACAGTCTGATATTTGAATTCTTTAGAAAAGTACCCTTTGACGAAAACATTTGTGATTGTGCAAGACCCTGCAATTAACTAACTTAATCTTTCGAGAAATACGCTCATTTGCAAATCTTTTTGGTTTTCACGAGAGACTCAACTGAATCTCTCGTTTATGATGTTCTACAACTGAATGTGCTGCACACAGGCTGCCTCATGTTTCAGTTGGTACGATAGTCGAGATATCGTAGTATATTTTCACGAGGGAATCTACTCACAAGTTTGCTGAAGAAGAGTTTTCAGCAACATTGTGAGTAATTTCCTTCATGATAATTTACTCTTTGTTTCTTAAGACAATCGTTTTTGATCCTTTTTCACTCTTGCCCCTGGATTTTTGCCGCCCTCAGTCGACATATAAATTATTTGTTACTTTTTCTTATTTGCGTGAATTTTGCCAAGTTTCTTGGTTTTATGAGTGATATTTATAGTGAAGTATCCGTGCGTATCTGCACTATACTCAAAACATAATTTGTATCGATTTTAAATGCACATCAATTTTTTTAATTCATGTGACAATGCCGTACGCCTACCGTGAAAACCGTACATGACTGCTGCAACTTGATGTGACTTATCGCACTTTGCGTGATGACATTGTTTATTTTCTGACTGCACACAGAATCGGAGAAGCAGCCGATGCCGAGATTTCTGTGCGCGGGGTCATTTTGACATCTTTTCCACTTACGGCATCTTGTGTTTCTAGTTATCTCTAGATTTATTTTGTGTTTCTACCTAGACAGATGCGAGTGAGCAATGTCAAATGTTTAGAATTTTGTGAAGACTTGTTCAGACTCAAATCCTGGGCTGCTGTTGCCTGAATAGAGCTACATGAAAAGTACACTTTTGTTCAAGGGATACTATCCACTCTTTGTGTTATTGTAAAAATGTATCTACTTAGAGCGACAGTTACCAGCCGATATTGTGGTTTAAGCACTCTAAGTAAATCACCAGGTTTCAAAACGTATTTGGTTCAGTGAAACTCTCGCTTTCAACAGGTATATCTGGTCAAGGGAGTTGTACAGTCTGAATCCACGACGTCTCCACCAATATATTTTTAAGGTTCCTTTGGCAAATTCCCACTGCATGGGAGATTTGCAGAATGACTATCCAAAAATTTCTCTGCTCACGATTCCTTCGCTCTGCTCCATACCGTGATGGATGAGCGAATTCCGTGTACCAAACGTGTGCGCTGTTCACTCCAAAATGGATTGTGAATTCAATCACGACTGACGTTTGCAACTCAGAATCAGCCTGCGTGAAATAGAAGTACTGTCACAGTTCCAATGATATGACGGCACCACAGACCGTTCGCTGTTTTGCTGAAACCGCCTGTTCAGACAACTATTCAGCCACTGGGATAGATCGGAAGGTTTTGTGCTTTCAGTCAAGGTCGGCGACAATGTTGGATTCGCACTGGCATGGTAACAAAGCAAAGCGCGCGTTGGGTAAGAACACCGAGGAAGTTTGCAAGTGAATAACAGACCGAAAAAGGGGGTAACTAAGTACGGTAGGTCACACGAATCAAACCGCTGTGTTGATTTGGAAGGAATTGAAAGGCGTGATCTGTATGTCACATGAGGGTAAAGACCGGTTTGCTATTCGAGAAGGTAGTTACAGCCAAATAGGGGTTTAACGACATTTGAAGATAGGCACTTTATGAAATTGGGATAACATGGCCATAGTGCACAGCATTTACTCTCATGAATTTGAGAGGAGTTGCTATATTGCACCCACCTCATGCAAACGACGTGAACTTCAGCTACTGAGTCAATACGATGTTCAGCTTCAAGGAGTAGACGAGCGGTTAAGAGTTAAGTGGTCAATTGACTGAATTCGAATTCGGAACTCGATTAACAGGCTTCAATAAGCGATTGATGGATTGATCAGCTGACCATTCTGTTGAAGCAGGTTATCCATCTCTCAGTGGTGAAGCGTTGGATGTCGGTGACTGATACCACGCCATTCTGGGTCTGAGAAATCGGTTGCGTACGTAAAAAAAACGGACTTTGCATTATTAATGATGCGTTCAATAGCTGCGGCCAAACGGCATCCGACTAGATCAGTAACATAGTCTCCACTTTTGAATAGAGCCTTAGGTGTGAATCTAAGTGATGCAGTTTAGATTCACCATTTCTAAATAAAAAATAAAACGTTTTGCTTGTAATTTGACCGAATAAGACCAGGTGTTCATGAATACAGAGGCTGATGAGCTACCTGATTAAGATGCTTGTCGACTGACTGAACAACCTAAGAAACTATGCACAAGTGGGTTGAAACTCTTGAAGCAGGCTATGAACACACTCAGTAGGGTGATAATCGACCTGTGCTTATTTGCCACTGTGTTTTGTGTTTGGGTGGGACCTAGATGTCAAAGCTCATGTCACTCAAGCAGTTTTGCGTCATTAGTATTTTTCCGATTCATCTTCATCTCCCGCAGCGAAATCTCGCTGTGTGCGCCTGGTGACTGTTTTTTCCTATGCGAAGAGGAATCCACACTGAGTTCGAAGATTCATACCCTTCTCGCACCGATTCAGTGTTTTATCAACGACTCACCAGGGTTGATCGATTTTTGAGAAGCGGGGACTAAGTAGCTACGTGCATAAATGAAATTTATCCCCAAGCTTGGCCACAAGCTGCAGGAATCTACCCGGAAAAAAATACAGACTCCAAAAAGTTGGATGGTAGCTTTATGGCTCTGCTCTGAAATCCCAAAAGGGGCTACATTTTGAGTAACGCAGCTTTGCAGCGCATCCATTTCCTTCGACCATTCTCTTAAAGCAACCGCTTTGGGTCATTCCTGTGGAATATAAACTTTTCAATAGCAACAACTAATTTTATTGTATCCCAATGTTTCCGGTTACTCCATTGCCTCTTAAAAATAGAGGTTAAACGTCAATCCTCTATTTCCACATAACACACCCATGGACAAGCACCAGGTACAAGAGTTTCTGCAGCTGTCACTTCTTCCAGACAGGTTTTGCTGTACATTGATGAAATAAAAATAGGGAAAACCCCTTTAAAAAACGAGCCATGATAATTAGCGTAATGCACTCATTTGCAAACAAAATTGGATTTGTAAATGAGTGTATTTGTCCGAATTAGTCCAGTTTGGGTTCAAGTAAAACATAAGTTTGACGAAAACTCGGAGAACACGCCTGTCGGATGAGCCCCAAGAAGAGCGAAACCGATCGTGGGCTGTCGAATAATCTTCAACAACCTTATGAGTAGTGTATTACGAACCATAATAAAGTTCGGTACACTTGGTAGGCCTAGGTTAGAGACATTTCACACTTCTAAGATCAGTTGAGTGAAAAACGTAAACACACACAAACACGGCTATGTTTTTGTGTTCGCTGCGGATTGAATCATTCCTGAAAATTACCCGTATCTTTTCATTCATGAATTGTCACACACACTTAAACTGAACCGTAAACAAAACTTTTATGTATTCCAAAACTTGTCAGTTAAACAGTTAGCTATTCGTCGTTGGTTGGACCAAACAAAATGTGGTATTTGGAGGTATTTGTGAGTCATGAAGCAAGGTCCTCGGATGGGGAAATGTGATTCTTAAACATAGCACGTTGCGTCTTATGCGATAGTCTTGCATACTTTCTTCAAGTTGACAGCCACAAGAGTGAAAACACAGCCCTAGACTTCACAACTATTCCCAGACATGTAACTTGATTCATGAAGTAGTTCTTACTTGGCAACCTACCTGCCTCAGCGAGGAGAATGGCAGCAATGAGATCGAGGATGATAGGTTAGATATTTCTTCAACCGTAGACTGTCAGTTTTCCCAGCAGCCAAATGCATCCAAGGCGCGCTACGAGCACACAGCGAGTTGGTGTACTCTAACTACTTGTGTTTGGTTGACCTAGTTGACGGTGGCATGGACTAGCATTCCGATGACCCGGGTCAAAACATGTGCGGACGCCTTTAAATTGGCTACCGCCCCCGGTTTGTTGTTGCAGAGTGAGACTTGGGTTGAAACATCAGTAAATTTTTTACTGCCGGTGAACAATGCCTTCGTCCTGTTTTTTTGACGAAAACCTTGCTTGTCACCAGATCATGGTGAAACGGCTGGATATTTGGCTCCTAGCAGTTAACTTACAGTCTCAGCTTGGGTCGAGTGTTCAAATTATCCCACGTCATAATCCATTGATCACGTGTTTTTCGGTCATGAGTGAATGTCAATCGCTTGCAGTTGATGCATCCTGATAGATTATCAGATGGCTAGTGATGCCTTGCACGAAATACTGGAATCAGTCACATGACCTGTATCGGTCTGTAATGACATCCTCGATCCAATTTCCAGCCAAGTGGATTTGCGTTTCCGAAGGCGCTGTTTTATTGTTCGGCGGATACATTCTACGCTAAAATGGAGGGTGAACGAACCGACCTGTGCCTACCTAGTGAGTCCCAGAGAAGGTAAAATCGGTAATGAGCCACCGAATATTTCTCAGAAAACTTTTGAGTAGCCTGTCCCATTCAAATAAACACAATGGTATCTCGACTATCATACCAACCGAAAGACGAGGTGGCCTTCGTGCAGTGCATTCAGTTGAGGAACATCCTAAACGAAAGATTCATTCAACCAAGTTTTCCGTTAACAACAACTTGTCTCGCTAGTAAGTGTAATTCACTTTATACGCAACCATACTTTTGATTATATGCTGAGTGTGCAAGCAACTGAACCCATTTGTTATTGATGATGAATCTGATGGGGTAGAAATCCCCTGGTAACGGGTAATCACTTGTGAGGGAATTGGTGTTTGATTTTATCGATTTATTCTGGTCAGTGAGTAGAATCTGGTTAGTTAGAAGTTGGTGTTTTTTGCATTATGACAATATAGTCACCAGTATTTCTCTTGCTCTTATTTTATCGCTGAGCAAACTTCTAAGAGGATACGGACCTTTGAGCTCCTGGTTGGTAGCTGAAAATTACTGCGTTCGACCACGAGTAGTTGAAGGATGTGAACAGACAGGAGCCAATCAACACGTGACCAATTGATTTGAATCGTCCAAATGAATGCCAATAGGGGGCATATCCTTCTGAAGTTAATCGCATTGATTATCAGCTTCTCTCGGCCATACGGTGTAAGCTTCATCCACTAGCCAGGAGGTCACGAGGTCAAATCTCCCTGAAAATTGGTGATAGTATTTGCCCGAAGCAACTGCACACAGCTATTCTGTCATCGAAATACATAAGAAATAATTCCTCATGAACGGGCTGTGCCAGGGGCATTTGCAAGCTTTGTATGAGTATTTTTCTGAGATAGATTTGGAAAAATTGTGCCAAGATTAGGTTGATAACTACTTCCATGGTCGGCGAAAGTAACCATTCCGCGAGGCCAAACTCTTCTGTTGATATCAACAGAAAGCCAGCTTTCATATTACTTGTTTGTCCTCGTTCTCTTATATTTTTTTCGTGATTACCAGTGACCGTGCGTCGGTTGAGATAAATGATGGACTAAGCATTCGTTCATTACCGCATAAGCGATGAACTGCGTAGTGACTTCTAAAGACTCACTGATGTTTGGAAACCAACCTGTCGATACGGATTGCATGGTTCAAACGCTTGAAGCGGATAACTTGCGTGGATTTCAGATACATATTCACGCTTATCGAATTATAAGACTACGCTCGGCCTCAAGGACGATTTGCCAAAATTATTGGGTGAATTCGGACCGCAAATGCTGCATTTTGATGTAGCTTTCGTTGTATCTTTCTGCAAGCACGACTGAGTTCGTGGGGTAATGAAACCTTTGCTATCTTTGTACAAGGATGCGGTTGTTCTGCGTCCTCAGCGAGGATGCGGTTGTGCTGCGTCCTCATCTCAGACCAGTGTGATTGTCGTGCAGCTTATCGGCCTCACTGTTGACCTCTTTCATCTGAGTATTAGTGCAGATTGCTTCAACCCGCCAGCCGCACGTGTTCAAAAACCTCGACAGCGTGTTACGCGAGTTAACTACATCAGCAGATTGCTTGCTTGACCGGTACTGACCCAGATCCAGACACAATCACAAGGTTGTCAATCACAATCGGTTTAGTAGCTGCAGAACAAAGAGAAATGCAAAGTCTTGGCGTTTGTATTCCGTAGAGTTGGTCACCCTTTGTAACATGTGAAGCCGTATCATAATTGTGTAGAGATCCATCGCTTTCAACTCAGTCACTGTGTTTTTTTTCATTGTCGGTCATGTGTGTGAACCAGGACACTCCATTAGGGAGACATCACTCGCAGAACGGTAGTCACATTGATTGTGTAGTCAAAGGAAGCAATCAAAAAAATCAAAAAAGTGTCAGTCACAATAAAAGGGACATTATTACGAAACGGTTTTGCGCGTCCAGACAGCATCGCTCCCAGTTATTGGAAGTGATGTATTACGGTTCCATATGACTGGTTTGCTAATAGACCACCCATGTCTTGCGTCCTCTAGAATGCAGCATCTGAATTACTGATTGTTCGGGTGGGTTGTCTGGTCGCAGAACGGAAACTTCACTAGAATGTAAGTTTTCATCACCATGTCGTGTAAGAATACATGTTTCTTGTGCAACCGTAGAGTACTGTTCGAGAAAGTAACACCATCCGTTTTAGACCGATCGGTGGTGTTATATCTCGACTATCCCAAGAGACGTGTGTCATTACTAACTGAGTGTTGAGTGAATTACTACCCATCTCAGTGTCTTCTAATGGCTTACAGCGTGAAACGAGTCGGTTAGTAGTTCAGAGAGGTTTGGTAAACAATCGGTGTTTATCAAACCTCTCTGGAACGATGAATTCCCCAACATTTTCCAGTTGATTGAGTCGGTCAGTGGTTCAAAATTTATGGCAACCTTGGACTCAGTCGATTTCACATGACAGTCTTTCCAACGATTGGTCCGAAACGTATTCCTGCTCTGTCCTGACAATCGTTCAAGCAGCTGATCGGGCGGCCACTGGCACGTGACGTTTGCTATCCGTTCGCATTTGTCCTATTAGGCCAACAGAGATTCGTTGGCGTCACTGAAAATTTTTTCTTAGTCACCAGACGATCGACAACTCCCTTCCTTCGAATTTCTGCAAGTCTTGCACTTCACATGCGCTGTTTAAAAACTACTCGCCTTAAAACTCGCTGTTTGTTCCAACTCGACATTTCTCTCCCGGTTTGTTAGGATCAAATCTTGGTAACATTTTCACATTTTACTTAGGTTACCTTGAGCTTCACATGCGCTGTTTGAAAACTACTCGCCTTAGAACTCGCTGTTTGTTCCAACTCCACATTTCTCTCCCGCTTTGTTAGGGTCAAATCTTCGTACCATTTTCACATTTTACTTAGGTTACCTTGACAACAACCACTCATATCCTGGTTACGTGACTTTAGCAAAGACATTTATACTCTACCGGTTTTATTGAACATCTAAGGGATCGATAAAATAGCAATAGTCGTTCACCTTGCCCTCTATTTGCCGTATTCCCCATCTTAATTCCACTTTTAAACTCCGCGATTTCAGCACAATCCAAAGGCTGTGTTCTGGTTCGGATTTTTCGGTGGAGTCTTTGTGGCTCAGACAGTTGTGATTATTTTGACATGTAAGTTTGATCATCCTAGCATCTAGGTTTGTTTTTCAAATTTAATGGGCTTCAGTTGGCAATCACTGTCTTTGCCAAGTAGAGGAATTCCGATAACCGGTCGCGTCTAATTCATTTATCGTTGTGTTGTTCTGCGTGATTGTGAGCGCCATAGGGCTCACAAGCAAACTAGGTTGTTGACGATATTGTACAGTACATTTAGGCGATATCCCCTCGAATATCAAGTGGCGATGCAGTGCCATTACGGGCACTCTTTATATCTGGATATTTTTGCCTCTTTTCAACCCAGAATATTCACAGCTGCACTGAGTCTACATGTGCCCAGCGGTTTTCTATATATATATATATATATATATATATATATATATATATATATATATATATATATATATATATATATATATATATATATATATATATATATATATATATATATATATATATATATATAACAGGTTCCAATGGATATAACATCTTAGCGTCAGCGATGCACGCAGATAGGTGTGCTTTCTGCAAGTCATCTCAGTTGTACTGTCGATGCGGATAAGGTTCATAAGTGAGATGTGCACTCGGAATGAGCTGATTGGTGGATCACACTTGATTTACCCTAATTCACATTTATTCACGTGAAAGACATGGAAACGAGTGACTGGTTGGCTGTAAATGAACAGGTGGAACTTTTCCTTCTAATCGAAGGTCGAATAGAACCATGATTATGCCATCTAGAAGGCGCTGAGCAATAGCTACCGGCAACCGAAGCTGCTCAGATGAATATTGCGTCGAAGTTGAAAGGATCCGTCTACCATACTTGGGATGTCAGGTCCGTTCTGCTGACTCTTCGATCCGCATTGCACTCAAAACAGGCGACAATGAAGTATATTTTACGTTTGAAAGCAGTCGACATGCAGGAAGAACCGAAGTAACAGTGGGTCACACTGCTTGGGGGAAAGATTAGTGTGAAGAGAAACTTTTCAAGTTGGCTGAACGTCCTAGCGGAGAAAGCCTTTGAGAGCTGAAAGTTGCCCGGCTGTTCCGACATAACTAGGAAAGCGAATTTCCAGAAGAAAAGGAGTTCTTTGGTAACGTTGAATTCTAATTTAGTACTCAGAAATACCATGTAACTATCGCGTAGTTGTTGTTGGTTGTTCTGATGGTCGTTTTATCAGATAACTGGTTCATTCACAAAAACTGCCTTGCATACTTCTGCTCGACAGTATATAAAATTCTTTTATCGAACTAACCAGCTGGTAGCCTGTACTAAACCATATATGGAGAAATACCGGAAAATAGCTCAGTGGTTGAGGCGCGAACTTACCAAAGAACGGTTCGTGGTTCGCATTATGACTACTCCTATCTGAACTTGGGCAGTCGGGCAGTATCTCTTCCCAAACTCAAACGAAACCATTTCAGGTCCGAGGGCTTCAAGCTATGAGGATACGGGGTAACAAAGAGCATTGCGTGCACCAATCCTGAGGGAAAATCCATAATGACCGTTTAGTCCTGAATGGGAAGGGCATACTCAATTATGAGTATGTTCAACTCATCCTCATGTTCGGTTAGTAAAAAGTCAACACGAAGTACACTGGCCTCCGCATTCAAATACTATTCATTGGTCATATCGACAGCTAGTAGAAATCAAGCTTCATACCCAACTTCAGTTCTAACCAGACAGTCACATATCGGGTGCGTTTCGGTAATAACAGGGGCCTCGTGTAGTCGGACCTTCTGGAATTCTACCACACATTCACTAAAATCCCAGTCATTGATGGTTTTACTAATTACCAGGTTCTTCATGCGAAATATCCCGGTGAAAGTTCCAAATACTCCCCAGTAGAAAGATGGTCGTCTGATAGAGCCAACAGCCAATCAAAACCGAGTTTCATGCCTGACCTGTTCTCTGTTGAGGTAAAAAATCCATGGAATCTGCTTTTCCTCACTTGGGGGATTCTATTCAAAGATGATTCAATTTTTCAGCACGTGAAAAAAATCCAACGTGGCTTCTTCTACCAAGTTCTGTATCAAAGATTTTCAGAGATATTTGTCCCATTATTCGACATTGCTCGGATTCGTCCGGCTTATCTAAGCTATGAAATTATTTGACAGAGCGAGTTGATTGCAAGGATCCACCGTCCACTGCTGATACAAATAAGGATTATGTTTCTGTCACCATCATTGATTCAGCGAATAAATTTTATCGTGGTTTCGCCTTGCCGATACTCCGCGCCCTAAGTGCGGTGGAATTTCAGTTCACCATGTGTTGGTCAATGCCTTTTTGTTGTCCATTGTCCAAGATGTTGCCAACCCTCGAAAGGTCAACTGCGCGCTCGTTACCAGTACTTATACGGACGGACCACCCGTCGGGCCAGTTGTACTTGTCCTTCCAAATCGAGGGCATTTCAAAAACCTACTTTTCTCACTCAAAGGCCATGTGAAATGGCCAAGTGGATTTGACGAATCCAGCAAGATTGTTCGAATACATTGTTTAGTCCATACTGCTGAAGCTGATGTTTTAACGGATTACCACTGCATGCTGAATGAGACCTCAGGAAATGGTTGTAACGGGCTACTGGGATTTGCGAAGCAGATCAGTCGAGATGTGGTATTGTGTAGTTGAAAATAATGTGAGTGATAGGTCGATAGCCAAGCAGTTTTCAGCAAGTCTTTGATCGTAAAAAGATTTGAAATTCGGAGGAAGCGTTCGTTCAAGAGTATCGAAGATCAATCGGTTCAGATTGGCAGTCTTCATTCAAGCTTGGCTCAGATAGCTGCTCGAAAAAAAACAACTCAACCTCTAATCTGAAAGATGCTGTCGCCGATGGTCTAGTCAATCGGTATGACCGTACCGGTAGACCACGGAAGTCACTTTTTTATTGCCACGGAAGGCATCGTGGGGATTATTCCTGAGGACAAAACTCGTTCTCTGTAGCTGATCGCTTGGCCTATACGTCACAAATTCATATTGAAAATTTCACACACCTTAAAAAGTTCGAACCTGAAGTGCCAACTGCATTCATCTTTCTAATTTTCCTTAGACTGTAATCCAGTCCACTTCTCAATCGATATGCAATATTAGGACCGCGAACTAGTGCGCAATACTTATAGGCAAGGAAAGCATAGCCTCAACCTTGCAAACTACAAGCGTATTCTCCCAGAAATACAGCTTCAAAAGACCGACCGAAAGTGTCCTCTCTAATGGGAGTGGTTACTATCAACGTTCTTCCCATTAGGCCAACTCAAAACGGTTTATTTAGGAAGCCGGTCCCTGCATCTGGAAATAAGCACTGTGTTAATGTATCTAGGTTTACGAAATTTTATAGCTCGCAGGCTTAACTGTTACACAGAAATTGATGTTGTACCTCAAAATGCCCAAAATGTGACTGATATTTCCTCTTTCGCTCGGTGCCGAACAACCTGGATCTTACCGACTAGGTACATAAAAATTCGCCAACTCATCAAATATTCACAAGCTGAGATGCTGTTGCGCACTGCTACCCAGCAAGACTAGTGTTACATCTGCTGATTCGTCGGCATGTGGTATCTGCTGCTGACCCGCTCCAGTGCCTAGTGTCGGAGAGAAAAAGGCTCACGGAAGGGAACACAATAGCTATATTCCAACAAATTGGCTGCGAGAGCGCGAGTGCGAAAAGTACAACGGTCTCAAGCTTTTTATTGGAAGGACACTGTCTGAACTTGGTCCAATGCTGACGCACGCGGTCTGGCTTTGGTACGAGGCAGCGACGTGCTGCATATTGCGGAGGCGTTGTCTGTCCTTGATCAACGCTGACTCGCGCTGTCTGGCTTTGATGCAAGGCTGTGACGCGCTGCATATTAAGGGGGCGTTGTTTGTCTGGTCAACACCCAGCGGAGCTGCAAGTCGCCGTAGATTCCGGGCATTCAGTGGTTGCTTTCAGGAAGCTGACCTTCCTGATACTTCCCCCTTTTGAACGTTCAACGTAAGATTTTCGACGCGGATCAAGTTGTAAAGGTTCCACCCTTTTTCTGGTGCGACCGGTATGGCGTCTCGGTTGCAGCAATGGATCTGTCTTGTGCGGTACATGCGTAGCTGTGGCTATAGGTGCTGGTCTTGAGAGATCAAAGTTTCAAGCAGTAGGTTGAGGTCTAGTAACTGTTCTTCCGCCTTTGGGATCTGGCACTCAGTCGGCCGTAATTGATTTACGGTTCGTTTCCATATCAATGATCCCACTTGGACGCTGTAAATCACCTGACCGATTCTTTTGAGGACGACTCCAACAGTCCATCTTCGGTGCCCGGGGC